TATAAGTCCACACTTCCACTTTATGAACTTATAAAGTCATACCATTTTTAACAGTGATGGAGAAAAGAAATCGGAAAAAAAAATTTCCTATTTTTTTTCATTCTTCCCATTCCGATTCTTTAAATATTATTGCCTCGATACATTCGAACAAACGATAAAAATTTATATTTTACATAAAACAACCAAACAAACAAAGATAACGATATGGTGGCCTATTACATCATCAAGATGAGATTGGAAAATATGAAAAAAATTCTGGTTTTCTTATTTTTAATCTGTTATTTTCGGTATTTTTTTTTTAAAGACAGGAAATTATTTTATTATCCGGTTTTTATTTTCTTTTTGTTCAATTCGATCTTTGATTATTTGGGAAGATTTTCTTCTTCTTTTTTTTGTTTTGGCTATGAAATGAAATTCACTACTTTCAGAAACTAATCAGATAGTTTATGTTTTTTTAGTTAGTCAAATATGTTGTGTGTTTCACAAGATCAAATATATAGAATCGATAGAATTATTATTGAGAAAACAAAATGAGAGAGAGAAAAAAAAATACAGAAAAAATCGATATATTAATGTGTATCATGTTTATAATATCAATTCTTGTTCAATGAAATTCAATGATGATTATTTTACCTGAACAAACAAGGCAAAAAAAATTGATTAAATTTCAAAATATTGTTGATCAAAAAGAAAGCAAAAAAAAAAAAAAACATTCATGTTTGACAGATTGATCGGAATCGATCTTTTTCAATTTTTTTTAATGTTCTCATTTTTTTTTGGAAGGGGGAGTTTTTTAATGATTTTTCATCATAACATTCATCAATGATCGATTGTTTCCAAAAACTAAGAGGAAAAAATTCAAAGGGAGAAAAAATTTTTCATGAAAATTCAGCTCATTTACCTTCCAAAACAACTATCAAAAAAATCGAATCGAATCGGATTGAATCAACTACTGACTACTACCTATAGGAAAAAGCATACTAATAATAATCACCTTTAATTATTGATGATAATTACCATCCGAAAAAAACAAAGGGAAAATGGAACAAAAAAAAACTTTAAAGTGAGGGAGGCAATTGATATGGCCGGTTCTTATGGTTCGGTGTGTGTGCACAATTTTGGCATTATCATTGTATAATCAACGACAACATTAATCGAACACGTCAAACGTTTTCATTGAGTTTTAGTTTAGTTTTTGCGTTTTTGTTGTTGATGACAATCAATGAATGAAATTATTAATTATTACCATAGGTTTCCCAAGCAATAAATTGACTTATGATGATGATGATCACTTGAATATGACATTTTCAGCAAACAATAAAAAAGAAAAACAATAAGTCAGTTTGTTCATAAGAATCGATTTTTGACATTTTTTTTATCATTTTACTTTACGAAGAATTTTGAGGAAAAAAAATTTTTCCAAGTAGAATTGATCAATGAATTTCTTACCCAACCATCAAACACACACACACACATTTTAATTATCGAAATTCACTAAAATATTATTACATTATTTAGCTGAATAAATTGAATGATATGAATTGGATAGATTTGTGTGCATGTACCTGGTTAAAACAATTTTTGTGAAACAAAACAACAAGTCATATTCTGTATCGATTAACAGAATGGATTTTCTTTTACTTTTTTTTGGTTAAAGATTTGAAAATAGAAACAAAGAAATTAAAATCATCATCATCATAAATCGACCAAACACAGAAGAATATTCTGTATTCGAGTAAAGTAAGACAGAAAAGAAAGTAATTTTAAATCAATTTTCATCATCATCATCATCATCAGCTAATAATTGTTGTGTTTGGACTATAATTTATGAGAAAGTTTTTAATTTTATTTAACTTTAAAAATGATAATAATAAAAACTTTTCGTTCGTTGCGAGAATCGTTGCATGATCAATGATTTGTGTACCTGTCAAAAGTGAATATTATTATTATTATTATTGAACGAAATAATAATAATTTTTCAATTTTCACTCGAAAAGAAAAAAAGTTTTAAAAAATTCATTTTACAATTAAAATTGATTTTTGTTTTCACTTATTTCGTTCATCATCATCATCATCAACGATAACGTGAGAAAAATAAAGAAAATTGTCATCAGGTTGAATTGGTAATTATATGCTCAATAAATTATAACTTGGTTTGATTGATTTTTTTTTTCGGTTGTTGTTGTCTATTTTCTTTTCTTTTTTTTATTATTTAGAATTGTACCGTTATATCATTATCATTATCATCATTCGAAAATCGATTTAATGGCAGTCGCCGTCATATGAATTGCTTGATTTTTTTTTCAAAGAAAAATTCATAAAAAGTTAATTCACTTTTTTTTTCAAAAATGATGATATTTTTTCACTTACTTTTTTTTGTATACATAATTATTAATTATTCACAATAAAAGATTTCAATTATTTCAATGAAAAATTTCAAACAATTAATTACCATAATCGTTATTTTCCAATGTTTTTCATTATCATTTTAAGAATCAGAAATCATCAAGAATCAGAAATTTTTTTCAAAACAACAATGATTTTTGATACCACAGTTGCCATCTATCGGTTGGAATTTTCTCTATTTTTTTTCAAACGGAAATTCCGATTCCATAGACATTTGCCGATGGCATAAATTCATCATTGAAATCAGATTGAGAATAACAACAACAACGAGAAAATTGATTAAAATTCAATCAA